GGGATAAGCTAGAAAATATTGGGGATGAGCTAGAAAATATTGGGGATAAGCTAGAAAATATTGGGGATGAGCTAGAAAATATTGGGGATAAGCTAGAAAATATTGGGGATGAGCTAGAAAATATTGGGGATGAGCTAGAAAATACTGGGGATGAACTGGAAAAATTAATTATCAAGTAGGTTGACCTAGAAAATACTGGGGATGAACTAAAAAACAGTGGGGATGATCTAGAAAATGCTGAGTATGAGATACAAAAAATAATGGGGATGATAAAAAAAATAATAGGGTTGAGCTAGAAAATACTGGGCATGAGCTAGAAATATACTTGGAGATGAGCTAAAAAATACTGGGGGTGAGCTAGAAAATATAAAAGATGTGATTTTAAAATATTGGGGGGCGACCTAGAACATGTTGGGAAATAACAACAGGAAAATATTACATTAGTGATGAGTTAGAAAATACTGTACTTGGGCTAGAATTTAGAAATTACAGCGGATTAGCTTTAAAATATTGGTGAAGAACTAGAAAAGAGTGAGGATGATCTAAAAAATGCTGGAGATGATCTAGAAAATATCAATTTTGAGTTACACAATGGAGCTAAGGCCAGAAAATATTGGGAATAGACTATTAAATACTGGCAATTTTTTTGAATGAGCTAAAAAAAATACTGGGAATGATCTAGAAAATACTGGGAATGAGCTAGAAAATATTGGGAATGAACTATTAAATACTGGCAATTTTTTTGAATGAGCTAAAAAATACTGGGAATGATCTAGAAAATACTGGGAATGAGCTTTAAAATATTGGGAACGAACTATTAAATACTGGCAATTTTTTTGAATGAGCTAAAAAATACTGGGAATGATCTAGAAAATACTGGGAATGAACTATAAAATATTGGGAATGAACTATTAAATACTGGCAATTTTTTTTTATGAGCTAAAAAATACTGGGAATGATCTAGAAAATACTGGGAATGAGCTATAAAATATTGGGAATGAACTATTAAATACTGGCAAATTTTTGAATGAGCTAAAAAATACTGGAAATGATCTAGAAAATACTGGGAATGATCTAAAAAATACTGGGAATGAGCTATAAAATATTGGGAATGAACTATTAAATGCTGGCAAATTTTTTGAATGAGCTAAAAAATACTGGGAATGATCTAAAAAATACTGGGAATGAGCTATAAAACATTGGGAATGAACTATTAAATACTGGCAAATTTTTGAATGAGCTAAAAAATACTGGAAATGATCTAGAAAATACTGGGAATGATCTAAAAAATACTGGGAATGAGCTATAAAATATTGGGAATGAACTATTAAATACTGGCAAAATTTTTGAATGAGCTAAAAAATACTGGGAATGATCTAGAAAATACTGGGAATGAGCTATAAAATATTGGGAATGAACTATTAAATACTGCCTGTGTGCAAGTTGTGTACGTTAAAGATCTCTCGGTGGTCTAAAATCGATAAAGAGTAGGCTTCGGCGGCCACCCGGGCAAAATTCAAAATTTCCTACCACCTTAAAAAGTCAAATGTGTCCCGTGCGCTCATATGACCTATGCAGTTGCGAGCGCCGTGAGACACTTACAAAAACAAACAAAACAAAAACAAGGTGCTTGCCTTTTAAGCTGAAGCCTATGGTTCAGTTCCCAGTGTGGGGAGCGACTCACAGCGTCACTTTTCGCCTGATTGTGTTACCTTTGCCTTTAGTTAGCGGGACTCTGCAGCCCGCTTTAAAATGTTAAGATTGAGCTTTAAAACTATAAAGTACTGGGGATGAGCTAGAAAATGTGGTTGAGCTAGAAAATACTGGGGATGAGCTTAATATTATTTGAGATGAGCTAGAAAATAGTGGGGTCGAGGTAGATTGTATTGGGGATGAGCTGGAAAATGTTGGGAACGACAGTGAAAAGTCTGGGGACCTTTGCAATTTTTGAAAAAAGTGGGGATAAGCTAGAAAATATTGGGGATGAGCTAGAAAATATTGGGGATAAGCTAGAAAATATTGGGGATGAGCTAGAAAATATTGGGGATGAGCTAGAAAATACTGGGGATGAACTGGAAAAATTAATTATCAAGTAGGTTGACCTAGAAAATACTGG